GATCTTTTTTACTAAATGTGATAGCATATGAAAAGCCAAAGGCAACTCCTATTCCAACCCTCTCCTTGTTAATATGAAAGGACTGTTTAAAATACCTTGACTTGAGGAGAGGACATATGTGAATAATCAATTGGAACTTTTTTATTTTTTGCATTTCCTAAACCTAAATAATCTGGTGTCATAAATATGGGCATTTAACTCAATTTCTTTGTCTTTTTTAAATTTTATTTTATTATAAAGGTGATATGCAGAAGGGCTACAGTTACATAAGGTAATGAGTACATTTCTTTTTGAATAGTGCTTTGTGCTTGGTAGACAGGTACTCTACCACTTGAGCCACATCTCCAGCAATTTTTTTAGATAGAGTATCATATTTTTGGCCTAATCTGTCCTTGAATTGTGACCCTCTGAATCTCTGCCTCCTATGTAGTTAGATTTACAGAATGTTCAACTCTGCCCAGCCTCACCAATATATATTATTGAAAATATTCATCAGGAAATAAAAAATTTAAAACCACAATAAAACATAACCTCAAACCTGATAGAATGGTTAAACAGGTAAAATATTTAACATGCTATTAGATTATGAGTAATATTAGAGAGAAAATTTAAAACTAGAAATGGCAGTATGAACTATTGGGATGGAGAAAGGGATATTTTCTTAAGTAAGCCAGTGAAGGAAGAAACTAGTCAAGTGAATATCTGAGGATAATACGTTCCTATTTAAAGAACAGAGAGAATGAAGTCCTTGAATTAGGAGTGGTACATGTAGTCAAGAAATAGAAGAGATGAAAGAAACAAAAACATTAAAATACATTTTTGAGGGTTCGTTTTCCTAACATCACATTCTCTGACTTTTTCCGCTTGACTCATACCTATACTAGATATTGCAAATAAGGGAAACCATGGGACCTATGTTTCTTTGGGCCTGGCTTACTTCACTTAATATAATTTTTTCCAAGCCTTTCCATTTCCTAACAAATGGGGAAATGTCATTCTTTCTGATGGAGGCATAGAATTCCATTGTGTATATATACCACATCTTCTTGATCCATTCATCTACTGAGGGGCATCTGGGTTGGTTCCATATCTTAGCTATGGTAAATAATGCTGCAATAAACATAGTTGTGCTGGTAGCTTTAGTGTGGCCTTGTTTGTAATCATTTGGGTAAATGCCCAAAAGTGGGATTGCTGGGTCATTGGGGAGCTCTATGTGGAGTCTTTTGAGGAACCTCCATACTGCTTTCCAAAGTGGTTGAACAAGTTTACATTCCCACCAACAATGAAGTAAGGTTCCTTTCTGTCCACATCCCCTCCAGCATCTGTTGTTGTTAGAGTTCTTGATTTTTGCCATTCTAACTGGAGTGAGGTATTTTAATGTTTTTGTTTCTTTCATGCATGTGCTCTAACGCATTTATAAGATTATTTCTTTGTTGCTTTGTATGTCCCTCCCCCACAGTGTAACCCCCGCTTTCACTATATTTGATGTCAGTATAACATGTGGAGGAGACGGGGACAAACAAGTCGTTTAAGGATTCAGGTGGACCTGTTGCAACAATGAGAAGTACAAAATGTCATGTCAAAACCAGCTTTACAATGTCGGTGGGGGTGGGGGGGGTATGATTGGGTGGGGGGGAGGGGGGAGGCTGGGAAGGGAGGTGAAGGGTAAACAAAGGAGGAGGCTGCAATGCTTGGTAAGAAATGTATGCATTATCCTGCCCATGTAATTGTAACCCCTCTGTACAGTATGTTCTCAAATAAAATAAAATAAAATTTAAAAAAAAAAAAAAGAAATAGAAGAGATGAAGGAACTATGGGTGGAACCCAATGAAGGAGGGAAAAAAAATAGAAGGTGAAGCGAGAGCAGGGTAACCGATTATCAAATCCCAAAGATTTGTAGCTCCTAATAAAATCCATGGGAAAACTTGGGGGACTTTGAACAGAATTTCATTTTAGCTGATTATTTTCGTTCCTGTATTTAGAACAGTCTAACAACTGCCTGGAGGCAGTTGTGACTCGAGCGAGATGCCCTGTCAGATTTTAAAGGCTTGGTCACGGCCGTGAAAAGCAGAGACATTCTGCTCAGAAACTGAGAGTTGAGCTGATAGAACTTTTTGAGGGGAGAGTAAATAAAGATGTGAGAGGAAGAGGGGAGTGTCCAGCATGGGCTGGGGCTGTTGCAGCTGGTGTGGGGGACATGACTGAGGGAAAATCACTGGAACTTGAGATGACTGCTAGATTCCCACCCCCACATGTTAAGTCAACAGTTGGAGTTCCAGAGGCATTGGGACAAATCAGATATTCATATCTTACTCATTTATCCCCGAGTTTCTTCATTCAGTTCTAGCAATGAACCTTCTTAGAAAATATCAGGAGCCATGTCTTAGAGGCCTTGCTACCATTTCTTCTGTGAAGCACCCTTATACCTTCATTCCCCCTGCCTCAGGATGCCATGTGTGGTGAGCTCTACCTGTTTTGAGGTCTTTACTGCTAATCTTTTCCAATTTCAATGTTTCCTACTCTTGCTGGCTTGTTGAAAGGTGGGACACATTCCCAGCCACCATTATTGAGCTCCCTTTCTCTGTGTTATTTTTTTATATATATTACTTTTTCCAATTTCTAGCTAATAAACTAAAAACCATTTTGTGAGGTATATTTTCCCTACACTTCAATGTCAGCCACACAAAGGAACAGACTTTTGTGTTGATTGATCTGTTTTTCAAATGTAGGATATTCTGCACACATGGAGGTAAATATGTGTTTTTCACATTTGTCATTAGCTTATAAATGAAACTAACAAATTTATCAGACATATATCTGAGGTAATAAATTTGACATGTTAAACTATTCAAGAGCTATTAAGCTATTAGAGCCTTTGCCAAATAGAGACAGTAGTCATTTGTAGAAATTAGATGATCTTAACCTCAGTCTCATAATTATGTTCTTGCCTCTTGGTGTATTTATCTTGAGTTTTCTTCCAAATGTTTACATCCTTATTGGAAACTCAGTCAATGCCTGTGGTCCTCTCAGTTAGGAAAGCTACTAGTATCTGTGATTCATGGGCCTCTGAAAGGAGATGCACAAGAATATCAAAGGTTATTAAGGAAAAATAATGCATGACAGAGTGATCTTATAAATAAATACACAGGGCTTTGGTTTCACATAGAAAAGGCATCCTTCCTGCAGTCTTCATACGGTCTCTTTTAGCAAGAACACCCTGTCTCAGTGGCATCATTGTCTCAAATATAAATTTAGCCCTGTAAAAGACTATGAAAATAGGCAGGGATGGGATCTGTCCCCTTTCTTCCCTCTCTGTGACTGTTACACCCCACTCACAGCTAGCACTAGTGAGCTGCTCTCCCCAGCCCTCCCTACAGCTGCCATTGATCTGCTAATGTGGTTAATCAATCTTGCTAAATATGTCCTGTAGGGAAAATGAGTAGTGATGAGAAGTAATCTTGCTGCTTCTTTCCTCTGAAAAATTCAGTGACTGATTTACAGATATTGTGTATTCTTCATGATATCCCATTGTAGACGATGGGAATTAAATTTCAGCCTTAAAGGTTATGGGCTCCCTCAAGGCCTAGAGTATTGTAATGAAAAATTGAAGACCTGTAAAGGGGGTTCCAGAATCTGCATAGTGAATAAACTTATATCAATTTTTTTCTCCTGTTAATTTAGGACTCTGTGAATAGAAATGTGCCAGTATGCTTTTCAACAGAGCTTTAAACCTGTCTCTACATTTTATATGCAACTTGTTCTGATTTATTTCTCTTTAGTATAAAGTCAATTTGCCTAGTTTCCTGAAGATATGTAGTGTCCCTCAGATTTACCCAGCTGGATTGGAGTAGGTTCCCTGTAAGACCTAAATAGAATACATTTATCTAACTTGATACCTCAAATAGAAGTTGTGCTTTGACAAATCGAATTATATATACGTTCCCTGTATCCTTTGAAGGTGAATAGACACCATGATTTTGCCAATGTACTCAGAATACTACGTGCTTCCTAGAATGAATTGTCTTCCTTGGGCCATAATCCAATTCTTAGAGTTACTAAGAGTCTATCCGAAGATAGTCTCCCATTCCATAGATGTGTGGTTTGCCTGTCTTAAAATACTCTTTTTACATGAAGAATCTTATCTAAAATTAGAATTCTCATTCTCTCTACACATTGATAAAGTCAGAATAAGAAAGTAAAGATATCTCCTGGTTCTTCTATATATTTGGTGCTTTTAATGGAATCCTGTTATGATTTCTGTAATCCCACACTATGACAGTTCATCTATTTGGTCCTTGCCTAATGCGTCTTTTTTTTTATTTTCAGTATCTTTATGTATTTATTTGTCTTACACAGAATTCCAGAGTTAAAACCATCCAACCAAATAAATAAACAAAACATTGCCTTTGGACTTCAGGGCTGACACCACTTATTATTTCTCCAGAAATTGAAACATCAAATTGTATTGATGCTTGTGTAAAATATTATATTTCTAAGATCCTGTCATTTTTATGTACTATATGTTTTAAACGTTTTTTAATGTAATACTTTGAAACCTAAAAGAGCCTCCCTATTTTAAAGAATTTCTATCATATGATAGAATGATTATGGATGTCAGTTTTCTTAAATATTTTAATTAAGCTCTTCTATCCTCCCAGTTTTGTGATCAATACACCAGCTTTAAACCACCAACCAATATGTTATAAATCAAGAGACATCTGCTATAAAGGATGCACAAATGTATTGCTGCAGGGAGAGGCGGGAACGACTTTCAATGTGTTCTCAAAAGTAGTGGGGCTTCACACATCACTCTTCTCACTTTCCAGTCTTATTCCCCCTGAACAAGAAACCTACTTTCTTCCTTTGAACAACAGAAATAATGTTCACTTTCATGATGGCTTATCAAGTAAAATAGAGTATTGAATGCTGTGTGTAGCTGTTTGATGCTGTTTCATTAAATATTTAAGTGTGTGACTCCCAGTTCTCCCTGCCTTGCTCAGGTTGATGTGATTGTCACCCTCGGTGGCCTAGCTGGGCGTTTTGACCAGATCATGGCGTCTGTGAATACCTTGTTCCAAGCCATTCACATCACTCCTTTGCCAACAGTAATAATCCAAGAGGCATCTCTCATCTACCTTCTCCAGCCAGTAAGTACAAGCAAATATAACCAGCGCGTTGCTTTTGCAAAACGTTTAGCTTTCGAGTATACTCAGAAACATTGACTTTGCCTGTGCCTGTCACCTGCAAGTACTGTAGATCTGATTTCCTTACCTGTGGCCTATTAAGGCCACTGCTCCAAGTAAAGTGAAAAGTTTTCATGTTATTGCATCTAGAAAAGAAAGAAAACCTGCATAACTTTTAAGTGACTAAGAATAGAAGTTAGCACTTTGGAATCTTGAGCAGCTGAATATGAATGACACTTGAAACAAACCTCAACAGGGACACACAAGGCTTGGCAAATATTTCAAATAGGATTCTCATGTGTTTAAGTGCTATCATTATAATTGGAAACTGGATTGGATTTTGTTTAGCACTTAAAAGGAAATCTTTAGCTTTTGCTCTTTATAGCTTGCCTGATTATTAATTGTCATCCCTCAAGAAAACTTTAATGACAGTACCACCCACTTCCAATGACAGACACCAAAGAGAATTTTGTACTAGTGTACTGAATAGAATTCTTACTGAAGAAATGAATTTTATAGAGTTTAGTTCAGTTTTTTAAAAATTACCTTTTGTATATACAAAAAATGTGTATGTTGTATACATGTGTATATAACATTTAAAATACATATGTATTTAACTCATATTTTCTTGATCTGCTTATCCATTGTAGGGCATCTATACATGGAATTTATTTATTCATCTAACCATTCATTTATTCATTTATCCATCAGGAAAAAATAATATTTTGTTATTTGCAAGGAAAGGAATAGACTTGGGAAAAATTATGTGAAGTGAAATCAGGCTCAGAGAAATAAATGACATATTTTCTCTTATATGTAGAAGCTAGTCCTAATTATAAATATATGAAAACATATACACGGCCATATGCACTTATTAACAAATTCTCTAAAGTATGGTATGTTCAGGGGAGGATTCCAGTGGTACAGCTTCTTTAAGCAATTAATGTACAGTTTAATAAAATGTTTCCAGGAAGCTGAAACATGTTTTCTGAGATAGAGACTGAGCTTAAGGCTAGGGGAGCAGACACATGGAGAGAGGAAGGGTGGGCAAATACAGTAAACACAGTATCCATGTGTATATGTGAAAAATAGAGCCAGGCAGGTTCACTTGAGGAATGGATAGGGTTAAGAAAAATAGGAGAGAATGATGGGAGGGTTGACATTGATCAAGATGCATTATATGCATACACTGACAGATTGACTTGAGACCCCTTTGTTCAGCTATAAAGATAAGTTAAAAGCATTAAAAAAATCACTTGGCGAGGTATTTGAGAAGATAGTGTGAGGCAGAAGATCACGTAAGATCACACCCTCTTACCTCTTACCTCTTACCTCTCACCACCTCTTGCCATCAGGCTGACACTATATATATAGCCTTTGCCTCTTTGCTGTGCTGTTCTATGGGGGTCTTCTTTCTGGAGAGACACTAGCTCTACCCCTTTTTAAAAATAATCCCACTTTTAGTGGGATAAGAAAGACAGTAATGCATGTATAAAAACCAGATATACCCGTTTTTTAAAAAATAATCCCACTTTTAGTGGGATAATGAAAGACAGTAATGCATGTATAAAAGCCAGATTAATTGTATTTAGAGGATTACAGTATGAATGGGTTTCATATAGCATATGATGAACCTAAGCACTGTTACTTGTATAATTTGAAATAAAGCTAATTCTAAAATGGCTTTAAGGCTATACTAATATTATTTCACAGAAGTGATTCTGCATCCTAGAAATAGAATATAAGTCATTAAAGGGCATACTGTTTGGGGTTTTGTATTTTTTCCATATGACTTTATATAACATATTATATGTTCTGTGAGCACTAGAATGAAGGAGGGTACACGGTATGGATAATGCAGAAGATACTGAGGTTTATTGTTGCTTGGGATTAGAAGCTTAATTGATTCAAAATGAAGCCAGTTTAAAATATTGTGGAGTAGCCTCAAGAAAAAGTCAGGCATGCTTCAACAAATAATGACTTAAATTTTTTGAATTTTTTTCTAAATTAATATTCACATCTCACTGCTGAGTCAAAAGATACATGTACATCTACCAGAAAGATGTTACTTCAGCTTTATAACAATGATGTGTAAAAAGCATAGCAGATACTATACAATAGTTACAATGTCATGGAGTTTGACTCAACTCTTTCTATTACAGTACGTCTTCTCCATCATGGGGTTAATGGGCTAAATTACAAATGACAAGCTCTTAAAACAAGTCACAGCCCATAGGCCAGTAATTATCCATGACCAATGTGTAACATGGCGAGTTGGTGTGTGTGTGTGTGTGTGTGTGTGTGTGTGTGTGTGTGTGTGTGTGTGTGTATGTGTGTGTTATACATATATAGTTCTACTCTCAAAAACATTTTCAAAGAACATGAATCTTGGATGTACTATGTTACTATAGTTTCAGTCTTAATTTATTTTTATTATCTTTAAGTACAAAGGAGTTTCTGTTTTACATGTCAATTTGTGAGTTTAAATCATCTTGATCAATGTCATTTCTCCCATCATTCTCCCCCTTCTAGCCCATCTTCACCTTCCCTTCAAGTGACCTAATTCTACTTTTATACAAGTATATTGAATATTATGATGGTATTCAACCACCATTCTTCTCTTCACTCGTCTACCCCTTCTCCGAATTAAAAAAAAACGATTCTGAGTTCTCCTAAATTACAACAAAATTTAAAAGTGTAATAATTTCTATGATATAAGCTGATTAAATAAGATCACCATGAAGCTTTGCTATTGTTCATCTCAAAAAATTATGATTATCCTGAGTGTTAGGTTTGTAAAGAATGTCTTTTACAATCTTCTTTATAATCACTGATTGTCTGAATGTAAGATATTAACAGAAGGAACAAGCCATCTTATGGGAACTGTTGTATAAATTTTTAATTTGTAACTTATAAGAGCTCTAGTTGTATGTTTATAATACTGATGCTAGTTGATCAGGACAGTCCTAGATGTTGGATATAAGATATACTCTCCTGATCTTTTTGCAAACTCTCCGTACCCTTTCATCATCTTAGAGTTTTCTATGATGGCCCAGTGTTTGTTTCTCAGAATCTGCGTGCAAGACTCTTCTGTGACTAGCTTGTATAAATAAGTAATCATCATGCATTGATTAGTTATTTTAGTCTTTTTGGTCTAAGCTGTATTTCTGGTAACAATTTCACTGGAAGTCATATGGCTCAAATTATAAAAAAAAAACATATATATATATATAGGTTTTATACTATATTTCAGCATATTTCTATTTTTATGCTCTATACGGTTTCATGTTTATACTATATTTCAGTGTAATGAATTTCTATTATATAAGAATAGAGTTGAAATTTTAAAAACATATATACACACACACACACATATAGATAAATGTATAGGTTTGTCTACATTTCAGCATATTTCCATTCCTGTAGATCCAAATGTCATTATGAGGGAAAACTTTCATAGACAGCATTTGTTTTGAAGAAAATAATCAACTCACCAGTTTATAATGGGAAATTAAAAAGAAGATGCATCCTGGCTCTTCCTTAACAGTCAACATCCCTGTTCTGCTTTCAAGACTGCTTTCTTGTACTTGTACTAAGATACCATCACCACTTCTGAGAAGGAGCCATTATGCAACAGGTGAGAGGCACTTCTGACATAAAGCATGGCTGACAGCCGTGGCCAGGCTGTTTGTGCTGAAGAGTCGCTGCTCTGAGCCTTGTTGCTCGTGCTGCCCCTGCAGACCTCCGAAGGCTCTGAATCTCACATACACACTTTCTCATTTTCTGGTCCTATGCTTTCTCAAGAGGACAGAAACATTAGCTTCTGTACACTGAGCATAAATTATCTTTTATCTCCAAGTTTTATGGCAGTTTGTAATACAAGTTAATAGGATTTATGACCAAGAAATGAGACGTCCAGGAGTTAACAAGGCATGCCTTTTACATTGTCCTAAAGCTGTGGTGAATTCTAGCCGGAATCCCAGGGTCTGACGAAGGGAAATGTTGTTACAGACTAGACTTCTGTTCTCTTCTTCTCACTGGAACACATTTCCAAATTTGTGGTGAATATGTCTTCCTTGTGGTCTTGGTTCTGTTTTACAGCTGCTTATTTTTCTCCTGGGTAGATTAATTACTAACTGTATAAAGTGTTGACATCTTATGCAGTATTCATTTATAATTCTGAGAATTAATATGATAAAAATGTTGAGTCTGATAGATAGATAGAAGCTGAATATTCATAACATTAATTTGGCATGCAAAAGGGTTTCTGCAGAGGACTAAGACTTCTGGTCTGTGTCACACACACACACACAAACACACACACACGTTCAACAAAATTCCCTCCGTGTATCAGAGGTCATATTCTCAGTGTGATTAGGAGTGGATCTCAGAAGGTTCCTATTCTAGAGAATTTATAAGTGATCATGCTGTTTCCCAATTTTAATTTCTTTCTTTGGCATAATCATTATTATTTTATTCTTCTCCTCTTTGTTGTTCTTATAATTGCTGTTGCTTGGCCTTTTATAATCTCTCGTGCAAATTACATATTAGCAAAGAACCAACAGTGTAAATGGTGCCGAAACCTTAGAGATATTTCACGATGAGCTTCACAGAGACATTTAGGTGATAGTCAGCTTTAAAGCAGCCGTAAGATGCAGTGTGTCCTAAGGGGAAAGGAGTGAACATAGCTCCACTGGCCACCCCTCAGCCATACCGCACACATGTTCTTTGACCTTGCAGATTCTTTCTCTAACAGATTTATAGAAAGAGATGCATCAGCAAAAAAAAAAAAAAAACTACATGAGCCTTCAGTGATTCCACAGCAGTAAGAAAAGAATTATGAAATTTAATCTCCATGGAGACTGTTTTAAAAACTCACTTGAACATTGGCCTTTTATTGTCAACCATCAGTGACAGGGAATCGGTTTTGGAGACTTGATGTCATCCATTTGTTCAGGTGAGAC